GCCTTCGTTTGGTTCTTTGATTTTTAGCAACATCCATCAGCTTCTTTGGTATTGTCACTGTTCTGTTGTGTTCATTTACGTTACTAAGCAATAAATTGCTTTGCCTGAACCAATTCCATTTGGTTTTTGTTGCATCCAGCTGACCCCTAAAGGCTGGATCGTACCAATGAAGTATAATAACAAGATGAACTGGCAATATATAAGAAAATGTTGAGACTTTATTCATCGTATTAGACAACAGTTAAACTGTTTGCTTTTTGGTTCATTTCAATTTTACATTTTGGCTTTTCTTTTACAATTTTGTCTTTGAAACTGATAAAACACTTGTTGCCCATCTGTGTCTATATGTTTTAATGATCCTAGAACTTGTAAGAAGTCATGGTCACAATTTGTTTGGCTGTTTTTTTTAAGCACTAACAGCTGGGAGATGCTGCTCTGAACTGTCTGAAGAACACAGGATTCCAGTGCTGAGGAGAGCTAACCAAACCACTTGTTTTGTGTCTGTGCAACATGTTAGTGCTTGTAAAAAGGAAGCTATTGTGTTAATTAGGAACATTTCCACACACATGGTTACCTTTGTTCATGCATATTGCATGGGAAACCGTTAAATATTAACAGCACTCCGACACCTATTAACTTTCTCGTCACACTGTGCTTTAAAGGGAAGCAGGGGCCCCTTGAGTTTCAAAATCCCCCCTTGTTTTGTTGCCACATTGCCCTCACATTTCTGCCAGCGCTGGTATTTCACCCACACATACTGTAGCCAGTTACTCACAAAGCTCTGGCTGCTATGAATCTGTACACAGGATGGCAGGTGTATCACTCAACATGGTGCAATCCATCACCAAATTATCCTTTTGAGGTACAAGCAAAAGGACTGCTTGATATTCTGAGCACAGCTTAATGTCCTTGAACTTCAGAAGAAGAAAAAAAAAAAAAAGAAGTGTGCAGCGCTGAATGGAGCGCTGCTTAGAAAAAGTTCCAGAGAACAAATGAGAAATGGAAAGATCTCCTCTGACTGGACACGACTACAGCCAAGACTGAACTGGTATAAACTATGTGTTGGTTGAAAATTAAAATTAGTATTTACTCACGTATTACACTTGAGTATCATTTTAAGGCACTTGTACTTGAATGTGTTCATGGTCTCAGAGGAACGTGTTGAACTTTTTACTTCACTGGTTTAATTTAACTGCTATAGCTTTAGGGAAGATTTTAGGTGGGGAAAAAAAACATATGATGAGTTTATAAAATGGCTTAGTCAAAGATTAAATCAGTGATTTAACCTTTTTGGCCTGTGATCTCTCACTAAAAAGCAATGTGGAGTTGTTGCTGTTCTTCTATGTCTCAGATCTCAGCAATTTCACAAAAGAGAGATTTCTCAGATGGTTGTATTTCAGTAACACTTGACTACCCAAATAGGTTTCCAATATTTTCCCCCCAAAAAGGCAAAGAAGTTCTTTGCCCACTTTTCCTTCTTATAAATCATCTCACAACCCTTTAGATTCAGTTTCACTTTAAGATACCCCGACTTCTTGGTTAGAAATTGGACTAAACTGCCTGATTTTCATCTAAAATAGCTACAATGACCACATAAAACAGCAAAACACTGACACATTTATACATCACAATCTAATAATGATAATTTAACATATGATATGATAATATATTAGTCTGTTTATAGCTATGTTTTGCTGCTAATATGGTGCTCTTTTGCTTGTAATGGAGTGTTTTTACCTTGTTGCATTGGTGCTTTTATCAACTTTGAGTAAAGGATCTGAAAACTCTTTTCATCAGTGTCTCTTTAGGACATAATTTACTCATTAACTTGTTGCTGGATGTAACGTAAAGTCAAAAATAATGTCAAAAGATAAACCCAATAATGATTTTTGGTTCTGTCATGTCCCTCCAAAATAAGTATCTCCCTCAAGTAGAAACCCTTTTCGGTCTGTATTTCTGCACTGTTCATCCAGATCTCTCACATTTCCATACATTCAGGTACCAACCATGCTAACACACTCGAGTCTTTAATGTTTTGTAATTCACTAAATACAGAAAGCAACATATGGAATCACTTCTCACATTTGGAAACTTGTCTCTCACATGTTGCCCCTTGAATAATTTGTCACCGCTGAAAATTTGATGAACGGACAAATTGGACGGCAAACGGCTACCATACTGGAGTTCCAGTAAACTCAAGATATTTTGTGCAAAACTAAAGTAGGTTAAGCAGATTTGGTCCTCACAACATATGACGCAGATCCCGCTCTCTCACTGTTGGGCCTGTCCCCAAGCAGTGCTAATAATCCTGCTTGCAAACAAGCTGTCAGTTTCCCTCACTTCCCTACAAATGTAATACTTGTTACTGGAATGTTGGAGGAGAGAATTAGCAAAACGCAGGAGGCCGATCTATAAACGAACTGTGAGTGAGAAGAAAAAAAGGGCAGGAGTGTTGATGAACAAAGTGGAACTGAAATGAACAACGATGGTTGATGATGATAGTTGAACCCAACATAGGAGTGAATGCAAAAAAAAAGAGCCATTTTTTCTTGATCATCATCAGTGAACATCAGCATCAGCGGCACAGATGCTGCAACTTCCACATAAAAGCTGACACCTAATCACCTCCTTTTAATCATATGCCATGTTGCAGGACTTCAGGACCTCAATTAAAGATCTGTTGTTCACTGACTCAGTCGCCAATCCAAACTGGTGGTCTCTAATTTATTCAAACACTTGCTTGGCAGGTGTCCTGACAGGTTGGCCTGTAGTTAACGATTAGGGCTCTCTGATCCTCAGCTGATAAAAGACCCAAGAGCTCACAACGCTTAATGTTTGACCACACCTCTTTCCCTCTCAGTCAGAATCGTCCTGTGATTGCGTAAACCAGCTGTTGAGCAAATGTGCTCCCTTACCAGGTTGTAAATGAAGCCTTCATGGCAACTGACAGCTTTCATCTATTGGTCTTTTTTTTTTTTTCCCCATTTCTGCAATTTTTGTAGTGATTTAGTAGAAGAAGACAAGAGGGACAGTTGAAGAAGTGATGTGTGACGTTAGATGAATGCCACACCAGGATGTTCCCTGACATACCAAAAAAGCTTTTGACTGGTTTCTGTTTACTCCAATGCCTACGTGTCTTTCACTATAAAAGAAAAAAAAAAGTGGATTACAGTTACAACAATCCCCCATTAAGAAGCTCTAAAGTGTGTGAGCAGGTTCATTCACATCGTTCTTGTCCAGGTTTGTACGCGGTGTTGTTTGCTTGTAGCTGAGTTTCAGTAAAAATGTGACAACAGCTCAATGTGACTCCAACAGACTGTAGACTGAGCAGATTTCAATCATCAAACAGTTCTCCACTGTACAAAAAAGAGACTAAAATGGAACACATCGGCTGCCGTGCGTACCATATTTTTCCCAGATTACAGAGGTCATAGTTAAGCTTTAGAAGCAACTCAAAGTGCATGCTGTAAATGCCACGTGGCTCTAGAAAACAAAGACTATAGCGTCATTCAGCGCTGTTTTGAGTGGCTTAATGTCTCATGTCTTTTCAGGTTGATTTGTCTGTATGGCTGACGCTGGTTAACAATGGCACCAGTGAGTTTATCAGGTCACTTTGCTGCTGCTTTGAGCGATAACCTCTCCATGATGTCACGGAAAACTAGAAACGAGGTTTACAGAGGGGTGTACACCCCTACAGGGTGGCTGTGCTTCCATATAACAAATCTGCTGCTGACCAGTTTCTCAGCATGCACACACACACACACACACACACACACATAGTCGATCACAAAATGGGTCGAACATAATATAATTTGAGATCTAATTTAATCTGTTAGGGGTCAATAGTGGACATGACTATTATATGATTGTGTATGTGTGTGGCAGAGGTGATCAGATTGGATACGTGCTGGTATCTTTTCATTGTGGTTGGAGTTAATAAACTGCACCACTGTGCTGCTGGTGCCAGAGAGCCAACAACTTCCTCAGAAGTACAGTGTGTGACCACAGTGCACCAATGCAGGCAAAATCCTACTTGGAGGAATAAGTCTGATCACACAGCATCACATCAACACACCATCTAAAAAATATATATAAAGTGACTAAACAGTATTGACATTCCCCTGATTGTGGAAAAAAAAGGAATAAATCATCTTACCAGTGTTCATGGAGCAGGTGCACTGAGATGCTGTCAAACTCCCCGGAGCTCAGCTTTCCCCTGCGGAGCTCGGTAGCATATTAGTGTCCTCACGGTGCTGTCCCTCCCCGGGATCGGCTCTCTTCTCTGGAGTATTCCCAGACTGTGCGTCCCTCTGTGCCCTCCTGCGCTCTCCTGGTGCAGCTCAGAGCGTGTGTGAGTGTTGTGCTGATGCGTGTTTGGTGCGCTCTGCCCCTCGGAGAGCCCCCCTCCAGCAGCCACACTGAGCCGACCGGTCGTGGGAGTTGCTCTCTTTCGCTGGCCGAGGCTGAAAATGCAGCGCGGAGGACCTTTGCCAGCTCCTCAGCTGTATGCAGTATTGATGGAGTTGCTGAGGGGATGCTAACACAGCATGAATGCTCACCGTCCCCCCTCCTCCCCTCCTCTCTCTCTCTCTCTCTCTCTCGACCAGGGGGGGCTGCTTGCTTTTCTGTGCAGAGCCTTTCAGCCTCGCCTTCAGATGTCAGAGACCTGACTTGCCAGTTAAACCTGATCAAAGACTTGCTGCCCTCCCTGCTGCACTGCCTGCTCTCACTGCCCACTTATTGCACTGCCTGCTTTAAGTGCATGCATTGTGCTGCTGCTGCTGCTGCAAAGGTATCAGCTATTGTTCAAACTTACCAGTGTGGCACTTCTTGTGTTTCTACTGACCACCAGCCATACACACTGCAACAGCCCTCACTGTGCTGCTGCACTTCTTTCAGTGCTTGCAGCAGAGCGAGAAAGAGTGAAAGTGCAGTTGTTGCAGTAAATCCCAGTGTCAGTCAGAGGGGGTGGGTGGGTGCAGGATTAAAAAGGTAAACTAAATCTTATAGAAATGAGCTCCTGAGATATTTCCACTGTGGTAGGAACTGCGCCTCCCCCTTTAAGTAACTGCCGGGACAAGGTCATTCACCTGATAATGGCAGATTCATTTCTATGGAAATGATGATGGCAGCAGTGACACAGGATGATGATTCAGGATGCAGCACCGAAACCTTTTACTCTGTTTCCCAGAATGCGTCCAAGTGAAAAAACGTGGCCACATGGTGTAGTTGTGTTCCTACAGGGTGCTGACAGCTGACATGTGCACGTTCACTCTGGTGTCAGTGTGTTTGTGTTGCTCTCTGCGTGCGCACGAGCACATGTAAAAGCATGTTTGAGGGGAAGCCAGCGGTGCACACGTGCACAACAAGATGACAGATCAGGATCTCCCAGTGTGCAGGGGGCGCCGCCTTACATCACTGATACATCACTCAGTTTAATGGAATTACAAGGGGGCTCTGTGCTCCAGAGGCCAGAGCTGCAGCATCCAAAAACCCAGATTACAGGAGGAAAGAGAAGTGAATGAATCATTCATGGGCTAAAATGTAGAAATCGACAGCTTGCCAAAAAATATTATTGCCAGCAGTTATTAGGGTAAATTTATTCTGACTGATAATTAGATTTCAACAGTCAGTAAAGCAAATGAGCATGTCAGCCCTCCTGACCACACAGCCAAACTGATGGCAGCTTTTTATTTTGGATCATTTTGTGATTTTGTTTTTTCTTGTGACATCTAAGAAGCTCACAAACAAACTGAGCTCATCACAGAGCGCAGCAGAGTGCATTAAGGACTAAGAGGAGTTGATGTTGCCAAGTCCCTCCCTGAAACGAAATTCAACACAGAGGAGCTGCAGCACTGGAATGCAACTCTTGTTAAACTATTCACTCCTGCCCCGGCAGTGGGCTCCCAGGCCCTGAATACCATTAATGTTGGGCATTTTCATGCTTGTTCGGATCACTCAGGGTTCCTCAGTGTACTGACCCGTGCATGAGGCAAAACAGTTTACTTATTGTGCATTGCTCTTCATTTTTAGG